CCGCACCCGCACAGCCCGCATTATGATCACGATCCTCCGGACTTCATTCGGTTCAAAATCGCACGAAAACAGACTGTCGCCGCAAACGTGTGGCAGGCAGGCAGTCAGGCATTCACGATTGCAGAACGACGTCCATCATCGAGCTGGCCCGGATGTGAAGTGTAAGAATGAAGATTGATTGGAGAGGGACTGCAGGACGTGCTGCTACCTACGCGAACGAGTTCTGCGTGGGCACAACAAACATTTCGAGCCGTCGAGTCAAGGATTGGAAGTGTGAAGAGAAGTTGGTCTGGCCACAAGTGTAGGGTATGCAAGAGAGCTCCCGTTCGGAGCTTACACGAGCAGCTCAGATCCGAGTGACGAAGAAGGCGTGTAGAATGGTCATTTGGTTTGAAAAGCGCAGATTCTTAAAGGGACTGGTGTGCAGACGTTGTGCTGACTGGCCAGACGACGACGACGCGTTGAGGGTGGCTGCGGAGGTGCCTTTACTGCTTGTCAGCGACGGGAACGTCCTTGCCGGACACCTTCTTGCTGTTGAGTACGAAGGCCACAAGAGAGAGCAAGAGTGTCAGCGTGTGAACAGGGTGATGACGAAGCATGGGACATCACAGAATGTGCGGGCAACCATGCTTGATTGTGGCCGCAGCGCGACAATCAGGTGCGTGGCAGCCTGGCGCACGCGTAGAGGTGCGACCTGCACTCATACATCCATTTTCGGCACCATCGACGTGTTCCAAACACTACCATCCCATCCACACCCAACTTACAAGATCTTGCGGAAACCGTCGGAAATCTTCTCGGTGGTGCTAGCGCTCTGCTTGTGACCGCTCTTGCTGAGCACAGCATCGATACCCTTGTCCAGAGCGTCTTGCTGAGGAGCGCCTCCCTCGGCGGGAGCAGGTGCGTTTGCGGGTGGTTGTTGCTAGATGCATAGGAATGGAAAGCAAGGGCGATGTGTTAGTGTCACGATTCGCTTGCATGCAAACATCGTGAATGCCCATCCATGCGATGCGGCATTCCACTCGTGCAAGCGAACATCCTACGCAATCTTGGCGCTGTCTTGGATACTCACGTCAGCCATGTTTGTTGTGATAAAGCGGGTGCTTACTTGGGTTGAGTTG